CGCGTTCTGGGATGCTGCCGATGGGGGTGGTCGTGGTAGAAGTGTTTCTGTTGCTCTGTTTTAATTTAAGGTCCGGACTAGAGCTGTGGTCAATCAAAGCGAAATAGTTTGGGTGTTGATTAATTAGCTTGTGCCCAATCAGCGCCACTCCCCAGCTAGGTTTCGGATGTTACCAAATCTGACAAAACTGTAGCCTCTATGGTTTCATGTCCACCAAGACAGAACGCATGTTTTCTTTTTATTTCTTTCATGAGTGATTTCTGAAGAAAGACAGCAGGCATTATGAACTGAAAATAGAAACCTTGAAATGTTTTTTTCTGAACGAGCATGAGTCGCAGATAATTCATTATATGGACAGGAAAGCTGACTTTTAAAGATACAACAGGGTACAACAAACAGGGCAGCCCATCACCTGAGTTAGTAGCTAATGACCCAGCCAGTTCATCATGGATACAGAAGGTCCTGTCATGTCTCTGAATTACACTTTTTTCCAACTTTATCTGGTGAATAAACACAGCTTTCACTCAACTTTAAAAACAGGGAACGAACATACTGGACAGTGTCAAATAAACGTTATGATGCCATATGATGATTCTTATTGTAAAAAACTGCACTTGGGCACATGTGCTATAAGGAAACAGAACTTGCAAAACTGCTATCCTGAACGTCCCTGCTACAGACCACTCTCGACAGACATCTCGCCCTGATTTCACAGCACAGCCACGAGAACGCGGAAGCCACAGGGATACGCACAGAAATACGCCCAAGACAAGCCCCACTGCTCCCCTCACGCCTCCAACTGCATAGTGCCTCCATGCTGAAAGCCCAAAGCCCAGATGAGATCTGCTTTTATGTTTTCAAGGCTTTAGGTTCATCTGCAAATTAGGTGTGTGCTAATGTAGCAGGGGCAGCAGTCTGGCTCAAACGCCGGACAGTCGGAGATGCAAATTCATTAATGCGATGACTGCTATTGCCAATACTTATTAATAACAGCTCTGCTGCTCCAAAACCACATTCCAGCGCTCCAGACGTGTTTCCTCTACCCAGATCCCGGTCTGCTCCCTGACATGAGGCAATGACATCAGCACAAGTCTGCTCTTCCAGACTGACCCACACAACCCAGGCTGAACATCCTTCCAGTCTTGCAGTGTTCTGCTTGCACAGCAGAGACTACACTCTACTAGCAGGACATTGTGTGTGTGTTTTCTCTTTCTGAAAAGATGCACAATGCAAAATATGACACGCAAAGCTATTTGGCCAGGAAAGTGGTGTTCTTTCTTCTTTCTGCTCTGCTACTTGGGCCTGATTTAATAGTATAAACCCATAAAGCACCACAAGGCACAAAGAGGGATTTAAACACTGTCTTAACAATAATCTTACCACTGGAGACGAAATTCGACACCCAGGGCAATCACAGATTGGAGGATGTACCTGTAAGATTCCTTTGGACATAAGAGTCTTCAGACTTTTCCCTGCAAAGAGAAGAAGAGAAGAGGACCTCAATGCAGGCACACTCCTAACGACCACAACAAAAACATGAAATCCGAACAGGTGACATCGGGGTAATGAGATACATTACTGCCTAATTTAGAATGAGATTAGAATCGGAAACGGAAATCAACCAGGTCTGCAGCTAAACAGAGAATTGCATATCTCGTCTACACGTTCTCCTGCGACCCGCCGACAGCCGATCTCTTGAACTGCCACGCAAATACATGAGCGGGCCTCCTCTGCGCGGACTGCAGGGAAGGGGAAGACGCAGTTAGCACGCAGCAGAGACACTTGGGTTTCGCTTTTCGAGGTCTGCAGGTTGCGCGTCAAAAAAACGAAAACGGAGAAAAACAAAAAATCACCCCAAATTCGCTCGGGCGTGAAAGCCGCCGACTGGCACCGCGGCGCGCCGTGAGCCAACTCGCTGCCCCTGGGTGATGGCCGGGACCCCGGGGGTCGCTCGCTGCGCACCCGCTTCTCATCTCCACATGTCTTCGAGAAGCGAACCAGGAAGAGGCAGG